AGCTTTTATAAGGAAAAACATGTCTGGTGCTACTCAGCTTTCCGGTGTTCAAATGTTTTGGCTGAGGTGTGAGCTCCCCTGTGTTATATATCCAGCTGCCAGCTTGTGTTACTGCCCTGGATTTTTGCCACTTGGGGCACAGATGTGTCCAAGCCCAACATTCAACATAATACTCCTGTGCTTGTACAAAATAGCTAATTGTTTGTACCAAGTTAGCAAGTAGCCGTTGCCCCAAACAATTCTGTCAATGATTGGTCATCTTCCAAAAAGAGACTCCCTTTCAGCCTAAATTTTCCAGAATTTCAGGGTGTAACAATCAGGAGCAGCATTAGACATAGATCAGTTTCAGCCTGCATGAATTTGGCAAAATGCTGACTTCAGAAATAACTTGGCTGATCTTCAGAGAGGAGAAAATTCCACTCAAAATCTCAGTTGCTCTGAATACATCCCAGATTAATATCTCTGCATTTCTGTGTTCCATAGGTGATATAACTGCTGAGGCTGCCGGCGGAAAACCAATCCAAGACAGTCTGATGTACAGCGGGTAAGAGCACTTAGGCAACTGAAATAACGTGGCCTTTGGAGCACTCTGCACTGGATACTTTTGGGTTCTGGTGGATTGCAGGAAGATGCTGCTGAATTAACTTTCATTTTGGAGCTGATTGTCACATAGCTGGTTCTGACCAATTTCCAGTTTTCACTATTAGGTCTGAATCAGAAATATGGATACAGGACTCTGATGATTTTGGGGAACAAGCTGGAAAAAGACTTCCTGCCCCAGTAGTGTTTGTAACACAGAGGTATCTTTCAAATCCTCTGCCTTTGTAGATAGGGAATTTTAGGGGAGGGAGAAACCAGGAAGGCCTGGATGTGCACTGAGGTCCAGTCTTGTTCTCATCACTGTGTGAGCATTGGCACAGCAGGACGTTTAAGTTGGAGTGCAGCCCGAGGTGCTGGCATGCCATTTTTATTTGATCTGCCAGGTGAAGATCCAAATCCCTGTTTCCTCTCTGTATCCAAAGCCTAGGAACTTGCTGTAGTGATAGACTCCATGATGCAGAGAGTGTACAATAGCCCTTCTGCTGCATTCCCCTA